AATTCTACAAACCACAACAAATTTTTCCATTGATTCTTTCAACATGTTTTACCCTCGAAAGGCAAAGACAGGACCACAATTACGCTGTACTTTTCACACTCTACTCCATTATGAGTTTTTTGATGAGTTTTATTCCTCCTTTCACCTAACACAGTACCTAACTATGATTGCTGTGGGATAAAGGACATGAATCCCCAATCGATTAAAGTTTCAAGATCAGCAGTAATAGATCACTCAAAATCTAACCAGATCCAAATGCCTATGGGTGCCCTCTCACCCTCCTCCATCATAGTCTCCATTAAAGTCATGATCCTACCATTTAAACAGCCTGGCACAGTTTACCTGGAAATTGAAATTCATTCAGAAAGTAAGATGAGATATTGGTAACCAACGTGGAAAACACAAGTCTTCTTTTCTGGGTGGGGGAGTCATGGCAGAAATTAATAAAATACTTATTGTGTAAAAGAGTTGTACCCTTAAAACACACAAGAAACACTACAAAGCATTCACATTCTATGTAAACTACATACAACATAACATACATATATAACATTGTTCACTTTTAAATGGTGTGAGAAGGAAAACAAAGGGAGGCTATAGGAAACCAGTAGGAAACAGGTAAAATCATCAGTGTAGAATGAGAACTAAGATACCACCCATGGTGCTTTGGAAATTTTAATCACTTTGTAAGTGTGCTCAGAAACAGTCAATATGCTTAACTTAAATTATAAAGCCAACCTCCCTATTAATAATAAAGCTCACTTTACAACTTCATCAGTAATTGAATTTCAGAAGGAAATGAACATTTAATTTCCACCTTGTAGAGGTATTTCCTTGTAGAGGTATTTCCAAAGATGTCACCATGTGAAAAATGTGTGTGCCTAAGACATACTCATACCTAAGACATATGCATGCCTATATTTATTGATGTACTATCCATAATACCTAAGATGAAGAAATTATCTAGGATATCCATCAACAAAGTACTAAAGAAAACAAAAAGGAATATTACTGTGCTATAAAAAGAAACAGTATATACTAACACCTAGAGCAAAATACACACACAGAACTGGTGGACATACTAACAATAGTCAGAAACAGAAAAAAGATAAAAAAGGGGGTCTCTTTTACACCTAGATACTAAAGTAAGAAAAGGTTTACCCAAATGTGGAATGTGATTTCTCAAAGCAGGAAAGGGTGCAGGTGATAAAGGTTAGGTAATGAATGGGTACCAAACACAGATATTGAGTTCCAGTATACTAGTGTGTGTTGTACAGCACAGAGGGGTGACTTAGAGACCACAATTATATATTTTATGATTAACTAGAAGAGAGGAAGGTTGCAAACACAATGCATAACAAGGAGTTGGAAACATCACACCTTTCTTGACAGAATTCTCTACAGTATTAATCTGAACCCCACCCCTCTCAACCACCCATTTAATATTCAAGGTTTAGCAGGGCACAGACTATGCTAAAATTGGGGGACAGTGTGAATGGTAAGAAAGAGAGGGCAAAATTTCAATTATTCATGTAAAAGTTGAGATAAGCAGGTAGAACCTCAGGTGTAGAATATAACATGGAGACTTCCTAGCATGGGGTGGTGGCACACCTGTAATTCTTACATTCAAGAAGCAATGGTAGGAGGATTGTGAGTTCAAGGCCATCCTGGTATACATGGTTAGTTCAAGGCCAGCTTGCACCAAGTGAGACTCTGGAAAAAGCTTCAGCTTTCCTTAGCAGTTTAATCTGTAACATGGCTCATTTTCCAGCTGCCCCCTTCCTTGGTGTAAGTATATGATGCTACAAAAGAATAAAAACATGTCTTGGTATTTATAAGACTTGTTTACAACATTTACTTGGAAGAAAAGAGACTCCAATGACATCTCTAGGGTGACTTGTGACTCTGAATGCTGCTGGTGATACTCTGCCCTCTGAGTCTGCTGACTGGGCCAGGGCTCCATCTGATGGCACCAATGAGCTCTTCAGCTCCTGCTTTTGCCCAGGTCTGTAATGTGGCAGGAAGACCTGCAATCCTATGCTGACATTATTTCCCCCAAAGTTGTTTTAACTGCTACTTTGTTCACTGTAATGCAATAAAAAGCAGCCTTTGAGAGACTAGCCATGCTGTTAAGTTGTAAGACTATTTAAAACTTCCTGAAGACTCAGTTTTCCAACCTGTACAATGGCCTCAGGTGCCCTACCAACCTGACTGGGTTACTCCGACTAGCTATCTAGAACAGGGTCACTAACAAGATTTTTACAAAACTGTTTGCTAGTGGTAGGGCCACCCATGTTTCTTTCTAACTTCTGAGATACTAGGCATTCCAAGAATCACCTTAAAAATCATTAGCACTTCTACAAGGTATATTATTAAAATGTATACTACTGAATTCATGTGCCACCAGCTATATCTTTTTACATAAGGAAAAACAAGTTAAAACTGGCATTGATCTAGTAAAAGTAATAGCACATACACACACTCTACCCTCCCCATGGAATAGCATTTTTTGTGCCTGATTTCTAATTTTAAAAGGGAAAAGAAACTTAAGCATACAAGCCAAGACTGACTGAGACTTGCAGCTCATTAAAGCTGAGGTGATTTCCCCTCTACAGAATTCTATTGATCTCCATAGTTCTTGCTAGACAAAAGTGTGGTCAGGGAGGGGATGATGGATGCCTCTGCCAATAGCACTGAACAAACCTGTTAGCT